GATGAGATTCGCGGACCGTGGAGGCAGCAGGCGGAGGCGGCGCAGACTCCGAATGGAGATGGTGTTGATCCCCGTCTAAATGAAGGGATGATTGTTCGTCGGACTGGTGGGAGGGTGGTCGAAATTGGGCAGCGGCCTGGAAGAAAAAAGGATGTAAATTGAATGCACGTTTTTTAGAGTCGCGTTGCTCGGGATGGAAAGTTGAGTCAACAACAAGAGGAGGAGGAAGAGGAAGGCTTACGTTTTTCATTATGCTATACTGCAAATGCCGGAGGTCGCCATCAGCTAGAGCAGATTCGCCGAGGTTTGAACGAATGTTCTTGAAGGCAATCGAAAAGAATTCCTGTGAGAGGAGAGGAATAAGAAGTGATAGGGAGCCAAAGCGCCAAAATTAAAAAAAGCCGATGCACAAATTATTAAGTTAAAGGATAAAATGCGTGGGAGCAGTGGCTCCCGGTGGCTAATGATCGAACCAGTTTCAGTCGACCAGGATTTTTTTATCATGCTTTTAAAGGCTGATAACAATTGGCGCTTTCAAGTGTCCAAATGAATACAACGTGGAATCAATCGTAACCTAAGAAATTATCATGAACAGTATCTTATAAAAAGAACCCTCCCATCAACAAAGAGGGGTGAAGGCTTCGCGTCATTCGTTGAGTACTGTCACAATTTCGTGTGGCACGCTCCAGGCAGAGGTATTGGTACCACGTCATTCACTGCGCCTCGTCCTACCAGTAGTTGGTTGAAAGGCTTGGAAGGTTGACTAATGCACGGGCGAGGGACGAGGGCGAGATCGCGACGCGGCGTGAGTCTGTGCCTAGGCGTGCTACCACTCCCCACCCCGGGTTAGTATGTGTTGTGGGGTGCGCATCACCGATGACGCATGCCGCTCCATGATATCGCCCCAGGTTGGTCCAGCAGGGGGGGGGACGTATGTAGATGGACAGGCATGTTAACGAGGTGCCAAGGCCCAAAGTACCAAAGGCTTCATTTCCGCAGTCAAAGTCAAACCACATTCTATAAAGTTATCTGTATAG